TTCCGTACCTCTACCTCCCCTACCTATGCCTTAGGGACCTCCCTGGACCTTACAGGAACCCCTTCAAGGGTCACATCTCTCTATCCCAGCCACTACTAGGTCATTCTTGTCCTCGGTCATGGTTTCCGTAGCTCCCTTCGAGCTCCAGCCTGCTCCTAGCATGCTACAACATAAACTCCATATACTAAAACCTACCCTAAGACCTATTCTGACCCAGGTCTTACAGAATACATTACCAGCGGACTGAGACAACGTCACAAGCGATGAGCCTACACTCAACACTGAGCCCAGGACGACCAGACAAGGAATACACTTATGCAAGGAGGCGAGGGACAGAGGCAAGATACAGACCAAATCTGTCATAGCGAGCAGGGACACATCCCCTCCCAGAGGTACTTGGAAAGCAAAGAGTATGAAAGCTGCAAATGATAACGAGCTTGCCTCGTTTTTGTGTGAAAGAGAAAGGAAGGAATCAAATGGGCACTCCAACCAACCAATCTAATACACAATATGCAAGTTCACTGCTATCAAATTTATTTAATAGCAAGGGGTAGCGTTGTCGAAGGTTCCGCAAAGCTTTGAGAGCTAGGAAAGAAGCCTTGATCAATCAATTTGAATTATTCTAAGGATTCGGTATATTCCTTTGATTAAGGTAGATTCAGCACGATTTGTGCTTTGATTGTATTGATATGGGTATATCAAGAATTGGGGGGTTTGAATCAAAGTAAATTAAAACCGAAACACACAGACCCCTACGGAGGGCTAGAACTATGTGCTGGCACAACCACACAGTGTGATTTGCCCTTAAGACCAACAGCTGATCCTAAGTTCGAAGAATACCCAACAACTGGATATAACTTCTCGCAGTCACAAGGAGCAGAACACAACATTCCTATACTTACAAGTGCCGGGCCCAAATAGCTGCTAGCGAAGAGGTTTCAGTCTGGCGGGAGTGTGTCTTTCCTTTTTACGGATTAGCACTGCAACGTCGTCCCAAAATCACTTGTATTCCAGATACATCGGATCGCTATTTATACATACAGAATATCAAGTCACACAGTACAATTAATTTAATACAATGAATGTTCGGAACCGCAAGGAAACTTCTACAATCGGTCAGATACCATTTAATTGGAATTTTCATGTCCTTATTTGGTCCATAATGGTTTCAAGATTCTAGTATACCTCCAAACATAGGTAGGTATTTCGGTGTTCATTTAATTTAATTGTTTTTGGAGAATGACTTGAATGGTGTTCTGCTGTCACTGCTGTTCAACACTTACTTCAATCATTTGTCACCTCGTCCGGAGGCAAATCAGCTCTCCTCAATTCTAATCCTATCAATCTGATTCATCTGGATTAAACTAATTGCTTCTCTCTTTCAATAGACACCCATTGTGCCTATACTATATCAAGGAAGTTACGCATAGTATTCATTTAATTGCATTCGTCAATATTTTCTACGTCAGGACTCTTTGACATTCATTTGATATGTCTTCGGAGCCTTGCAGTACTTCAATCGTTCTTCTAGTCATTTTCCTCAACCATGCAACCTGATTGGTCTTTTAGACTAAATCGCAGTCTTTTAGATTAATACATGATCTCGTTCTAGAAGGAGTATTTTGATAATTCCTGAGTTCTAGAAAGTCATTTTGAGTCAATCCTTGGCTCATGGTCACTTGAGTAAGTTCTTCCAAACTCCTGCCAGTGTAAGGTCCAATAAGAATACCCTTGGTATGTCATACGTGAATGGTCATCCTTCAGATGTAGTCCGAGTCTGGTATAATCCTGCTTGACAAACAGGTAGACTTTTATCCGAAAGTAGTATTGGGGATGGGCAAACTAGCCAACTTGTGGTAGTATGGGTATATGGTCCCTTCAACTTATTAGACTAATTCAGTATTGACTTTGACTGTCAATCTGGGTCTCAATTACAGTCCTCTTGATATGAATCTATACGTGAAAATGTCACAATTCCATAGCAAGGAGAGAGGGTGAACCGTGGACAGAACTGGAGACTGATGGACCACTAGCCCTGATTACCCAGAACCTGTACACATTTGCTGCAACATCTGGGAAACTATGGGTCCCACAGTCCTTCAAACAAGCGATGCAGAGACCCAACCTCTGGCATGCACCCATGGAGAAGGAGGACAACATACTGCTAGAGAAGAACTGCTGGGACTTAGTGAAGCTACCACCTGAAGCAAACCTCACGGGGGGATGGTGGACCTACACAATAAAATTTGACGCAAAAGGCAACCTACTGAAATGTAAGGCACGATACGTCGCCCAAGGGTACACCCAGATACAGGGACAAGACTATGACAAGACCTATGGGGGGGTAGCACACATGGGGTCGGTCAGACTGGTGCTAGCAATTATTGCGGCACTGCGACTGTCCATATTCCAAGTGGACTTGACCGTCACATTCCTCAACAGCCCCATAACTCATGATGTTTACATGAAACAACCAGAGGGATCCGTTAAGCCTGGGACCGAACACCTGGTCTGCAAGCTGAAGAAGTTGATCTATGGGACGATTGTCAAGTCCATGCCTCGGGCCTCCATATCGCCGCTCGGTATTCCGAAGATCCACCGTTTATTGTAATCTCACTCTTATTGTTCTTTCTCGCTACACATACCCTTTTGTTCTAGTCCCTCCTTATTGTCTTTTACTTTACCCTGCAGGTACTACACGTATAGCTCCTAGTAGTTAGTCTAGTGCTCCGCACTGAGGCGCCGCTCCGTAGATATAAATACTGCCTGTATGCTACTGTAGTTCCTCAGTTTAATTATTGACTTAGATTCCCTCCTTAACTCTGTGCTCCTCTAAGTCTTCAGGCTCAACACCTTGAAGTACATTCTACTCTACCTTAGGACTTAGACGTTTTTTGGTTTGCTCCTCGTCACCGGCATTACTGCCGCTCCGACTTGGCTGCTACTTAGCTCCTCCCTCTATACTCTCGATCTCCAGGGACTAACGGCGTAACGGCGGTGTTGTTAATAACTTCACTACTGTCCCACTCATCTTCCGCACTTAGACACTCTGTGACCTCTGGCACGGTTACTTGGTGTACATGATCTTAACAACAATGCAGGGGAGCCACGACTGGCAGGAGACACTGGCAGAGGGATACAACAAAGACGGATGCACAACATTGAGAGCCGACCCGGGTATACGCTACCGGCGCACTGGGAATGAATACACCATCACGAGTACATATGAAGACAACGTATGCGGAGGGTCATCAACTAGGAAAGGCAGGGACAGGGCAGTAAGTGACCTGGGGAAATGCTGGGAGGCTAACAAAGTTGCGTTGGAGGTACTGCTTGGTATGAGTATCACACAGGACCCCACGATGAGGGCAATCACTATATCACAAAGGACATACTTTGAGCGAATGCTGGCCAATTTCGGACTAGAACACGTATGGTGCTGGAGCACCCCACTCCCACCCAATATCAAACTCAATGAATCAATATCCCCACTCCCAGTCGACAAAGCCAATTTCATGCGAGACAAGCCATACCGCGCCATTGTCAGATGCCTTATGTGTGGCCAGACCTAGCGTTCACAGCAGGACTCCTTGCCTGCTACCAGCTTAACCTGGGGAGACAACACTGGGAGTGCATTGAGTGGGCGGCAGGCTACATCCTGGCCACCATCAACTATTCCATTACGTATCGGGCACCCAGTTGTAGTGATCCACCCCCTGGGGCAGGCCTACAGCCATATGCCTACATTGACTCCGACCACACAGGTTGCAAGGATACTTACCAATCGACCCCGGGCTATGTCTTCGTCATGGCAGGAGCACCTGTCTCTTGGAGTTCAAAGCGGCGAGCCATGGTGGCCCTATCCACCACTGAGCTGGAGTACATCAGTCTATTGCACGCGACGCAACAAGCTGTATGGCTTGTGTCCTTCTTATCTGAGGTCGATCTACAACAGGAGGGAGTGATCAAGATGTTGGGGGATAACTTCAGATCCGTGTGCCTGTCTGAAAACCCCAAGCAACATGCCCTGGTCAAACGCATTGAGATGAGGCACCACTACATCCGGAAGAAGGTAGCTAGTGGCAAAGTTTGTGTTGAATGAATACATTCCAGGGAGAATGTAGCCGACCTGTTCACAAAAGCACTCAATGGCCCAAACCACTCCCAGCTGGTTGCACTACTCGGACTCCACCCCAATCGTACGGAGTAGGGGGGGTGTTGAAGAAGACTCCATACGTACATTAGTACTCACAGCTTTGACCATATATTATATGTATATGCCATTTACCATTACCTTAGGTACTGTACAGTTGAATATGTAGATCACGCATGGCGGCGACTTTGAGCTCCTCAGTTGTCTTTACACCAACTGAGGTGAGCTCGACAGCACGGCGGCAACTTCAAGCTCCTCAGTTGTCTTTACACCAACTGAGGTGAGCTCGACAGCACGCCGCCAATTCACAATACTAACGCTATGATAGTTACTTACTCCTACAGGTACATATACATAGTTGTCTTTACACCAACTGAGTTACTTACTCCTACAGTCATGTGGTGACTGGATACAGATGGAAACATGTAGTGGATTCAAATAGATGTCAAAACAATCACCAAAACAGTGACTCAAATGAAAAGCCTAATAAGCTTTATCTACCAAATGATATTCTATTGGGATCATAAAATACCATATTGTCCTTCAATCCTGCCACAAACCAATAACTACCTACCAAAGATATTGATCTTGTCAGCAAAGGTCCAATATTAAGCAGATGTTTGTTTGGTTTTTGCGGTGTACTTGTCTTGATAAACAACGCCTGATCAACGTAAGTACTACTGTACCAGCCAATATTATAATCAGATTGATTGTTTTTTTTCTTCTATGAGGAGGAAGGGGGGGGGGATTAGAGGTGAATAACCCAATTCCAATCACAATCCCAACTAAACCCCCGCCCCACCAAAAAAAAGAAAAAAATCCCCACAATTGGAGTGGGAAGAAAATATGACCACCGCAGGGGTCGAACCTGCAATCTCCTGATTACAATTGCCCGCAACATTATCGTAGTCAGACGCGATGCCATTTCGCCAGGCGGCCATATGTTGATGATGTGTTAGAAAGTGTGGTTGAAAGGATGTCATGAAATTGAGAAATCGAGAATTCTGAGAGAACTTGAGGAATGAAGGTGGGGATTTGGGGATTTGAGAAAGCTATGATGGGAATTGGGAATCCCTGGAGCGCTGCCTGGACTGTGGGGGCTGAATATGTCTGAGCGGAAAGGCCTGCGGAAAGCTGTGATTTAATAAGTACTTGTGTATTGTGCATGTCAGCGCTGGGGAGGACAGCGTAGGACACAATCGATGGGCAGTGGATACTAGTACACAACCAGTAACAATAAACACGGGCGCGATATCTGAATCAGATAATCTATTAATATTATTGCCCACACCGCTTTTTTTCGAAATCCATGAGTTCTTTTCCTGTACCACCACCGGCACCGCCATCGCTGGCAAACAAAGTAGATATAGTACCACCACCACCAGCACTACCACCATCATCTTCATCGACGTTCTCATCGCCATCGACGACAGTGCCATCGACTCTAACAACGTCCGACGGAGGAAGCGCTCCACACCTCGAAGACCCACTCGTCGCACCTCGAGCACAAAAAGTAGATCCTGAGATACCAGCTAACGTGAGTTGATTTTTCTTTTTTTTCGACTGTTTATCTCACAAGTCGTTGGTTGGTAGATGGCACGTAATCTAGACGAATCACTGCGTGGTGTGTCGTCGCCAGTGCCAGCGTCGTTGAACAACCCTGGTGGATTCAACATCCCAGGAGTGTCTCAATCGTCGCAAGCATGGAATCCGTCGTTGCCATATCCGAATCCCACTCCAAACCCAAACCCGCATAGAAGCTACTACGGTGGATACGGTGGACCTGTTGATGCTGGCTACGGTCAACAACAACATCCACAAAGGATGGTCTCACCATCTCCAACGATATCTCAACACATCACCCACCCACCTTCCTCGTCGTCGTCGTCGTCGTTGACCGCACCACTGCCCACAATTCCCAGTCTCTCCTCCTCTACCCCAACTCCCACAAGCGATCCAGCAATCAAAGTCGCCTGGTCCAGAGACGTCTTATTCCTCATCGAACGAGCCCACGCAATAGCAAGTGGTTCACCGCCTGGTGAACCAATAAACGGATCAGTGCTCATCACCGACACAGCCCTCCTCGACCTCGCCAACATCGCCATCCCCTTCATCCTCGAAATTGCCTCCCTCCCTCCCTCTCCCTCCAATCCATACATCGCCGAATCAATTTACCACCGCGCCTCTCTCCTCGCCTCTGGTGCTTTCCCCGAATACACCCCCAAGAACCCCCGCAGCGCATTCCGCGACTTTGAGACCGCCGCACGGGCAGGCTACGGCAAAGCCTGGTTCCGCATCGGACGCGACTACGAAGGCTTCGGGGACACCACCCACGCCAGAGAGTGTTTCGAACGCGGTGTCCGTGCCGGCGTCGCAGGGTGCATGTACCGTCTCGGCATGGCCCACCTCCTCGGCCAACTCTCCCTCCCCCTGTCCCCCTCCACCGCTCTCCCCCTCCTCCACCGCGCAGCTCTCGTCTCCACCATCGACACCCCTCAACCAGCCTACGTCTACGCCCTCCTCCTCCTCGGCGAATTCACCCAATCCCAAATCGACCCGGGACTCTTCCATAAACTCAACCTCCTCCCTCCCTCCCTCTCCCACCTCGGTCCCCGCGGTCTCCTCCTCGACGCCCGCACCCACCTAACCACCTCCGCCTTCCTCCACTTCTCCCCCGCCCAATACAAGCTCGGCCACGCCTACGAATTCGCCACTCCCCCATTCGAATTCGACGCCCTCCTCAGCGTGGAGTGGTATTCCCGTGCCAGCCAACAAGGCGAAACCGAGGCCGACATGGCTTTATCCAAATGGTTCCTATGCGGTTCCCGTATCGGTGGTCCAAACGGGTCTAGTCCCCCCTCCACTTCCCTCGGTGGATTCGACAAAGACGAACAACTAGCCCGCATATTTGCCTCCAAAGCCGCACACAAAGGTCTCCCCTCCGCAGAATTCGCCATGGGGTACTATTGCGAAGTCGGTATCGGGGGTTCCATTGACCTCGACGAGGCTCTCCGGTGGTACGCTCTCGCCCAGAGACACGGGAACACCGATGCCGGGGAGAGATTGGCGGCGCTGTCGCAGCCCGCCCCACAAGTGCTTTCCCGCAGCGAACACGATGAGATCACAGAGAGCAAGCTTGTGCGGAGTCGCACCAGGGCAAAAGAGAGGAGTGAGGCGCAGATGGTCAGAGATGGGTATTTGGCGGGGCAGCCTCAGCCTCAATTCCAAGGACAAGGAAGTCCCGGTAGGAGAAGAGATTCTCGACCAGTCGTTGATTTGATTCGGAAGAATACTTTAGGGAGTTATCAACCACCACAAGGAGCACACGGAAGATACCACACCGAGCACGCAAACACCCTTCCTCCAAACCAAGTAGGTATCACCATTTCCCGTCCACCTTCCGCTTCCGCCTATCACCAACAACCTCCCCCTCATCAATCCCAAGTTCCTCCTCTTCCTTCTTCCACCCCAAACCCCAACCCCAACCCCAACCAAAACCAAAACCACAACCTCCGCCCAACCTCCCGTCCAGGTGGTCAACCCGGAGGCCCAAACACAGGCCAAGCATACCCCACAGCAAACCGATACACCCTCGTCGACCCCGGCTCCGGCTCCGCTCCGCGCAGCAACAGCCGGTCTCCGTCCACCGGTCCCGGTGGTGGCAGACCACCTCCCCGACGCGGTCCCAGCGGCGGAATCGTCGTTTCGGGGGGTGTTTCCACCACCTCCAACCCGACTAGTAGTAATAGTGGCCCGGGAACCCCTGTGGGAGCACCACCACCACCTCCACCTGCGGGAGCACCAGCCCCACCGAGACCTACTGGTCCGCAGACATTCGCAGAGATGGGGATATCGGGTGCGAAAGCTGAGGATGAAAAGTGTGTTATTATGTAGGTTATGGGTATGTAGGTAGGGGCTTAAGAAGGTGGGAAGGAGGGAGGGTTAGGAGGGTGCTTAAGGAGGGTGCTTAGAGACGGTGCTTAGGGAAGGAGAGAGGAAGGAGGTAGGGTACATCCGGACCAATTCATAATAATACTAACACTCTCCATCTTCATCTTCCTGTACCCTTTCGAGGGTTTCTCGAATTTTTGATCTTTTGAACTTTTGAACGATTGAACGATTGAACTTGCGAACTTTTGAACGTAGAATCACATAAAGTACCACCCATAATCCACATAATACCACTTTATCGAAACCAACAACCTATGATTCCTAAAAAGTCACCCCTAATGATAATGGCCGCCTGGCGAAATGGCATCGCGTCTGACTACGATATCATTGCAAGGCCGGATTCGAATCAGGAGATTGCAGGTTCGACCCCTGCGGTGGTCACTTATTTCGGTTCAAAACTGTCAACTTTTTTTTTTTTTGCTTTCTGTGGAACATGTCCTCACTGGAATATTTGTCTTTTTTTTTTGTGTTGGTTGTTGGACATATATATATATATATACCTAAAACATTGCTTGCCTATGTAAAATAAAAACCTATCGCGGACTTGTTGGAATTGGAGTCTTATTACATCTTTCAAGGTCGTCTTCAGCGAATCTCTCGCCACAATTTATGTACTGGATACAAGTTTGCAACCAAACACGATCAGGTAAATGGTATATAACCAAGTCATGACCGTATATCTATGGTCTATGGATCTTACAGAATCGACTCTCTCTCAAGGCCTCAGCATGGAATCATCCCTCATTGAGCCTTTTGAAAATTTCTCATTGCCGATTCATTCATTTGAGGGGTTTTTTGACCTTTCGCCCCTCCTTCGTCCCCCGTCGCTCCCTGGTCGCAGCATCACCCCTTCAGTAATCCACTGCAAATATATACCTCGCTTCAGCCCTGCAACAAATCCGGACGATCCCGAAACGAAAGTTTCTTAGAGGCTCATTTGTAGTATAAAGACTCCCCCTTCTCTTTCCTCTATTCGAATCCCCAGAGCTGGTCTCGAAAAAAAAAAACCTTACAGTGCCGTGCACTCAATACCACAAATATCAACTCGCCCATTACTCGGATTCCACAATGGTTCTTTCACGCATCATTCTCACCGCTTTGCTCGCCCTTGGGAGCATCGCAGTCGCTCTCCCTGTTGCCCCCAGGGGCGCCACTGGTACCACGCCAACACCTGCATCAGGCGCTCCTTCACAAGGCAGTCTCGGTAAATACCACTATAAATGTCTTCCTTGTCAATCTCTAGTAATATTTCCACTTTTCTTTTCTTTTCCTCAGCGGTCGGAGATGGTGTTCCTCTTGAAAATCACAACAAAGAGGTTTCTCTGCGTCTGGGTGGAGTAACGCCTCAGGGAAATCAAGCTAGCAACAGTGTTTCACAAACACAATCATCATCTGCTGCTGGAAGCTTATGCAATGTCCCGCCGCTGGCGCAGAGTAACGAGCTTTCATTATTTTCTCGTCCTTCTGGCGAAACAAAGGCAGGTATGTATACTTTTTTTTTTCACCTAGTCCCACACAATTTTCGACCAACATTGAACTGCTATGAAAATAGATCTATTGCGACGAATGGCTTTGATCAAAGATCACACCAACGTGCACAAAAATTACAAGGCACAAGTCGAACGACTTGCTAATACCTTGAAACAGAAAGAAGAACTTGATACAGCCGCCGACAGAATGAATATATTTCAAGATACCCGTGCCGTGGGCATCCTTTCTTTTGTCATCCAGGTTTATCTGTTCCCTCACAATGGTAATCAGTCCTCTTGTTTGTTTGACCCCCTCCCAATGTTGACAGATATATATTGCTATTTCCAGGGTTTGAAGGTGATAGCAGCAAAAAACTTGAGAAAATCCGCGAAGCTTTCAATAATGGTGAAAATGTGGACGTCATCCTTGACATCGTCCGTTTTGGTAACATATGTTAACTAGAGACGCTTACCATCACCTCCAATTGGGTCGAGCAATACCTTATACAACAATATTATCGTTGGTTGAATGTTGGATATTTGAGAGTTGTCAAAATAGCGGAATGCTTCGGAACGCGCTTGGGTCCTTTTCTTCTTGCGCACAACCAACCTTGTATCACCGTAAACTTGAAGCTGAAGGCCTGACGAATCGCAATGAGACATCCCCACTAGGCAGGAGCCCTGCAACTTCTCATCCAATTTGAGGGGCTTTTGCCTTCGTAGTGCCCCCTCTTTGTCCCCGTCGCTCCCTATCGCAGCATCACTCCCCTTCATTTAAGTATGTAAACACCTCGTTTCAGCTGATTGCGCAATAAATACGGACAATCCCGAAACAAAAAGTTTTCCGAAGGCCTCATTTGTATAAAGAACCCCCCCCTTCCTCCATAATCCATTCGAATCCCCAGAGCTGGTCTCGAAAAAACCCAAAACCTTACAGTGCCGTGCACCCGATACTACAAATATCCACTCACACGTTTTCATTCTCTATCCTTTTCAACTCTCCCGTTACTTGAATCCCACGATGGTTCTTTCACGCATCATTCTCACCGCTGTGCTCGCTCTTGGGAGCATCGCAGTCGCTTTCCCTGTTGTCCCCGGGGGTGGAGTCACTGGTACCACACCAACACCTGGCTCAGGCGCTCGTCTTCCTCGTATGCAAGGCGATGACTTGAAACCCAGTAAGCACCCAGGCTGTCAATGTTCTCCTTGTCAATTCTCTGATTCCCCTTTTCCTTGACAGATCTTGAAGCCGGTATGAAGGGATTGTCAATTTCCCCGCTCGCGGGTGGACCGTCGTCGCCCCATGGAGTTCCGCCACTAGGATCAAGCTCCGAGGTTCCTTCTGAAAAATTCAACAAGCAACGTATGTGTATAGATTTTTTCCCTAACCCCACGCAATTCTCAGTCGACTTTAGAATATGATGAAAGAATACGACAAAAAATAGAGTTGATCAAAAATTTCCCTAATGTGCATAACAACTACAAGAAAATAGCAGAGCGACTTTCTGAATGCATGGACATGGACAAGAAAAAACCTTCAATTCCCTTATCTGCATTGGTAAATCTAGATACCATGAACGTGCTCACCCTTGCTAAGGTAATCGAGGATTATATGAAGCCTCAACCTGGCGAAGGTAATCAGTCCTCTCGTTTATTCCACCTTCCCAATGTTGACAGAGATATTGCTTTTTCTAGGAAAGAACCCAAAAATTGAGAAACTCCGCAAAGCCTTCGAGGAAGGTGATTACCCAGAAAACCTCCCCGCGATTCTTCGCGGTTCTCCAGAGCCTGGAATTCATTGATAGTGTGATAGTAGAGCACAGAATTTATGAAATTTGTCGTATTTGATTTCGGTGAACACGATGAGTGAGATCCTGCCTACGGAGGACGTAACCGAGTTTCTACGCCAGCCTGAGGTTGTGAATACGAAGCTCGAAGTATTCTTCGTCTCCTCGCGGGCTTTTCGACTTTCGAGCTCTATGGGTCGAGGAAATTCCTTACACAGCACCACGTCGATCCCCCTCGCTTAGCTACTGTTGGTCGAATGTTGAGAATAGTCGAGGCTTCGAGTTTGAAGGGTGATTCCAAATGATCTCAAGGGCCCACTCGGTGCCGTCTGGAGAGATCGACGACATAGGAGTTTGTAGAGCCGAAGGTATAGATAGATTCGAAGAAAGCAATAATACATGAGAGATTACATGTTTCCAACACCATTTTCGTCTTTTTCTAGATCTATTTGCACACAGCCAAGCTTGGGTGTTTTTTCAGTAGTTCTCACTGTAAACACTGAAGCTGAAGCTTGGAGGGCTGAAGAAAATTCATTCGACCGAATCAAAATTTCAATCGCCGCTTGGAAGGGAAAAGGAGATGTCGTGGCACTCGATGTCGATGAATCTTCAAACGATGGTATATCGCAGGCATGATTTGCCGTGCACATTCTGACCCGCATGCTCATCTCGACGAACAACGAGTATACACCACTAACACCACTCTCTTCTCTTGGAGGGTTCCATTTAGCCCGCATCTTCGCCTCCAAAGGTCTCCTGTCCACTGAATTCGCCATGGAGTACTACTGCAAAGTCAGTATCGAGTGATACACCTTCGCCTTAACCCTCGGGAAGACCGACGCCGGGGTGCGAGAAGTCAGACGAAGGCGAAGGAGAGGAGTGAGGCGCAGAAGGTTAGGGATAGAAATCCAAGACAGGTGGCTGATATAATTCGGAAGCATACATTAGGGAGTTGTCGACAACCCTAGCCTGGACGAGGCGCAGCACATGGAAGGTATCACACTGACCACGCAAATACCCTACCTCCAAATCAAGATCCACGAATGCGTGTGGGTATATGTATATTTTGGCACTCATTCTTCCAATCCCCTCCCCTTGAATAGCCTTGAATTTGATCTAGTCCTCTCCTGGTGGCTTCTCCATGCTATGTATAAGATAATCAGGCTGTCTCCGGGTCTTCCTCAAAGCCTTCAGCGAATCTCCCGCACAATTTACATACCACCAAATGCAATCAGGTGAATGAATGGAGGTGAATATTTATGCGAGTCGTGAGTCATGTGGGACTATTATGGATCTCAATCAGCGCATGGAATCGACTAGTCCCTAATCTGAGGGGTTTTTGACCTTCGTCCCCGTCGCTTCCCTTCAGTATTCCGCTGTAAATACCTCGTTTTAACCTGCAAAAAATCCGGACAATCGCGAAACGAAAGTTTTCTGAAGGCTCATTTGTATAAAGACCCCCCTCCCTTCCTCCATTCGAATCCCCAGAGCTGGTCTCGGAAAAACCTTACCAGTGCCGTGCACCTGATACTACAAATATCAACTTGACATTTTCATTCACAATCTTTTCAACTCGCCCGTTACTCGAATTCCACGATGGTTCTTTCACGCATCATTCTTTCCGCTTTCATCGCTCTTGGGAGCATCGCAGTTGCTCTTCCTGTTGTCCCCGGGGACGTCGCTGGTACCACGCCAACACCTGGATCAGGCGCTCCTCTTCCTTATCTACAAGGCAGTCTCGGTAAGTACACTGTTACTAATGTTTTCCTTATCAATTTCTAATTCCCTTTTCTCTCTTCCTTAGCAGTGGGAGATACCGCTGTTCCTCTTGAAGACGGCATGAAAGGAGTTTCTCCGCTCGTGGGTGGATCGTCGTCGCCCCATGGAAATGAGGCTGGCAGCAATATTTCACGGAGACAATCATCATCTGCTGCCGGAAACTCATCCAATGTCCCGCCGCCAGAGACTAATGCAAGTTCACTCTCTGCTCATCCTTTTGAAGCACGAAAGGAAGGTGTGTGTACAGATTTTCTCCCTAACCCCACGCAATTCTCAGTTGACTTTGTATTATGATAAAGAACTGCTCCGACAGATAAATTTGATCAAAAATTACCCCAATGTGCAC